TGGTTGGAAAAATACTTTTAAACCATCAAAACATTAGCATAAATTTTGTTTTGGTTTTTGTAATCCATTCTAGTGCTATTCCTAGGATTAATCTTTTGTGTGCTAGCTTTTGAAATTTGCCTTTATTTGTTGCTTTGTGTCTTCTTGGCTCTCTTTGTTTTGTCACACTAATTCCTACTAGAGTATAGCCTTTTATCCACTGGGTAATCAAACTCTGCCAAACTGTATCAAAGATCCAATCAGACTTCTTGTTTATTTGACGAGCTTTCTTGAACATTTCAGAAAGCCTATGAGATGCTTTTGTGTGAAATATTTTTTTTATCTTCTCTTCATGTTCAGCTCTCCATGAAACTTTTTTCTGCATTAACAGAATAATGAAGCAATTAAATTATTCATGACTATAAACTTAGTGCATTTAACGTAATCCCTTTAGAATAGAATGATAATAAACAAATTATGTACCTTAAAACGCTGAAAGAAGATATCTTTTTGTTCTTCCGTCATTGCACCCCAAGTCATCCATGGCTCAACAAATTGTTGCTTAATAGTCAATGTGATTGCCTTAGATGCTACCCTGCTTGGATAAAACCTAATTATTGAGGAAAAAAAATTAAATCAGTTCAATGCTGGGAAAGAAAAAATAGGATTTAGAAAGCAAAAATTATAAATTTTACCCATCATTACAAGGCTCAATCATTGGAAGAACAGACCCAACTGGTGGATCTTCATTGTTGAATGGTGATGTATCATTGTTGGACAGTTGCTCTTCATCTCCAGTAGGAATTTCAAAAAGTCTGGAGGGTACTGACATTGGTGATGCATTGCTACTAGGTTCACAATGTGAAGCTCTAGAAGAAGGTAACTGATTTTGTTTTTGGGAGCATGTGGGTTCAACATTTTGGGTTTGGGGTAATGGGGGTGTAGCAATTTGGGTGTTAGGAGGTATGGTTCTAGCATTTTGGGTTTGGGGAGGTGTGCTCGTAGCAACTTCTGTTTGGTGAGGCATGGGTGCAGGGATTTCAGTTTGAGGAGTTATGGGCTCTAAACCTACAAGTGGCTGGGTTGTTTGTTTAGGTAGTCTAAGAACATACCTTGGTTTTTTCCCCTTTTTTCCTTTGTTGCCACCAAGTGAAGGACATTGGGGAAACTTATCAGCACCTCCTGATGCCATTATCTGCAAAAAAAACAATTTAACAAATTGTGGTCATTCAATATTTAAACATTTCACAACATAGAATTAAACATGATTATGTTACCTAATGGTTTTTAAAACATTATAATTAAATACTATGTAGCAATTAAAACAATGCAAATATCAAGTGATTACTACGAGAAACAATATATATTGGTTTTATATAAATATTAATTAAACATTGATGTTACAATTGAACATGATATTTGCCTACTCACAATTTCTATAATAGATATAATCCTAGTCAGACGAATCAGAATTCTCATTATCCATCTCCATTTCTTCATTGTCCTCTTCGGAATCATAGTCTTCAAATTCTCCTTCTTCATCATCATAATTTTGCTCCAAATCATTGTCTTCAAATTCCCCTTGTTGAATATGTTCTTCCAAATGAACTGGTTGTATCTCGGATGGTTCATCTTCTTCTTCAACAAGAATTTGTGAATCTTGGAAGCCTAAAATAGGTTCTACTTCTATGACTTCATTGACATGTGACACTTGGTCTACTTGGTACGGTACATCGTCCTCCACATGACATTCTATACGACCTCTAGGCTTTGTTTTAATTGGCACACACCAACCGCGTTTATCTATTCGTGATGTTGGATATGGGACATAATAAACTTGCCTTACATTATGAGCAATAATAAATGGATCATATGCCACATATCTTCTATCCATGCGAATATTGACAACATTATATTTGGGATCTACTCTTGTACCTCTTCGTGATGGATCATACCAGTCACAATAAAATAACATGACTTTCTTGGGAGAACTTGAACTATTGTACTCTAGTTCATATATGTGTTGGATGACCCCATAGAAGTCATCATCACCTCCTTCAGTAAGCCCTTTGACATAAACTCCACTATTTATTGTCTTTTTACCTTGACTCCATTCATGGTTATGAAATTTATAGCCATTCACATATAGAGTGTGCCATTCTTTAACCTCAATGAACGGACCAAGTGATAATTCTCTCAAGTGTTGGTTTCTGACGCTTATAGGTTCATTGTAAACCTACAATATTCAACAAAGTATTTGTTATGTTTTATATAAGTAATGTTAAAGTAAAATAAATTTTGTGCTACGTACATGATCCTTAAACCACTTGGGGAAATCATCATGTATGCGAGAAGGAGCTGTTGATTCACTTATTTGTTCTAATTGTAGGAATGAACTATCAAAAAATATGAATGAGGTGGTCAGTTCAAAAAGAAAGTTTGATTTACTATATTACAAAATCAATTGTTGGAAAATACTGACTCAAGATATGGCTTAACTTCTGTACAATTGATCAAAACATGAACATGGGCTGACTTCCATTGTTGCTGGCTTAACCAATGAGATTTTTGCTTCCCAGAATGACGAGCTGGTTGATTAAATATGGACAACGATGATGGACACCTATCACTTTCAGTTTCCAATTCATTTCTACAACTTTGCGATGACAACGTGGAGTTGTGGAAATAATGAGAACAAAAATGAGTTGTTTCGCGGTGTATGTAAGATGCACATATCGATCCTTCAACCCTCGCCTTATTTTTCACTGATCGTTTAGAATCTCCCATAAATCTATAAAATTATATGAATAGGTTAGGGTTCATAAACATTGAACAATACTAGTTATACACAATAGTATGATAATTGTAGTACCTTTCAAATGGATACATCCACCTATATTGAACTGGACCACCAAGTCGTGCTTCATATGCAAGGTGAATAGGTAGATGTTCCATTGAATCAAAGAATGCAGGGGGGAATACTCTTTCCAATTTGCAAAGAATAATTGTTATCTACGGAAATTTCCGTAGATAAGTTACCTACGGAAATTTCCGTAGGTAACTTATCTACGGAAATTTCCGTAGATAAATTACCTACGGAAATTTCCGTAAATAAGTTACCTACGGAAATTTTCGTAGGTAAGTTACCTACGGAAATTTCCGTAGGTAACTTACCTACGGAAATTTCCGTAGGTAACTGATTTCAACATTGCATGAATTATTTTGTTTACCTTTCCACACCAATCTTTATAAATAGTTTTACCTGGTCAGAAATATTAATAAAATCACTTATCAGGTTTCTTTAAATATCTTATAACCACAATATGAAATCAAACATCTTTAAAATCTAAAATACCCATAGCAATTATGCATAATTAGTTTCCATGTCATAGTGTAAAATAAGACTATTTTTGCATAAAATTATACATAATAAAATATTTAAATAGTTGTGGATCCATAATCTAAAAAAAACATCTAACTAATAGTCATCTCCATAGTGTCCAGTAGGTGGTGGTTGTTGGTCATCATGGTTGTCATGAAATTGTTGATCCACTTGTTGTTGCAAAATATGTTGTGTATCAGAAGGTAGGAGAGGTAGAACAGCATTGAACAGTGATTGAAACTGGCGTTGCAAGCGTTCATTTTGTTCCCTAGATTGACGAGCCTCCTCCCTAGATTGACGAGCCTCCTCCCTAGACTTACGGACTTGCTCTTCCAATTGAATAATTTTGTCTGAATCTTCAGTAGCACGAGCAGAAGATATATTTGTGAAGGTATCCACCAATGTCAATGGAGAAACGACTTTTCCAACCCCATAAAGTCTTCTTTTGTCTGTAACCCCACCAGCAGCAGCAATCCAACTCTTATTGCGGAGTCTTTCTTCCTGAACTGGGTCCATAGAAGACGTTTCAGAACCTCCCGTACAAGATGCAGCCTCAGACCTAGCTTGATTAAATATAGTCTCAAATTGATCCTATTTCACAAATAAAGATGTTTAGAAGTGACATTTATGAAAGATGATTAAAATTGAAAAGAATAAAGCAATAATACGAAAAAAATAACTCACATATGTTCGCTTAGATCTTTGGTCAACAAAATCACCCGTAAGCTTCCGTACATGAGTTTGGTGGAACAACTCATCAACATGTGGAAGGCGACCCAACTCTTGTGACTATAATTGTATAAATAGTTAATCATCATATTTCTAAAATTATATTAAATAAAATATATTAGTTTAATGTAATTACCATCCGCATAGCATGCTCGTGATGGGTGATGGAGCCACCTGTGTGCAGACTTCCACCTTTCTCAGATGCTCTATTTTTTTGAGCTTGGATACTCTTTGTTTTAAATTCAGGGGCCATCCACTGGGCAATCAAACTCTGCCAAACTGTATCAAACATCCAATCAGGCTTCTTGTTTATTTGACGAGCTTTCTTGAACATTTCAGAAAGCCTATGAGATGCTTTTGTGTGAAATATTTTTTTTATCTTCTCTTCATGTTCAGGTCTCCATGAAACTTTTTTCTGCATTAACAGAATAAAGAAGCAATTAAATTATTCATGACTACAAAATTAGTGCATTTAACGTAATCCCTTTAGAACAGAATGATAATAAACAAATACTCAACATCAATCCGGGTTTCTCCAACAAGTTTCCATCAGTTACTATCAAAGCCATGAGACTTAATTTATAGCTTGGATGGCAAGCTTGGCATGGTTTGGATGTCCAAATCACTTGCATGAGCAAGTGGACATCCAAACCTATGGGCCATAGAAAAGGTTTGGGCCATCTAAGCCCAAATAAGTCAAATAAGACTTTACTAGTTATACGCTCCCTAATTTACTAATTACACCCTCAAGTAATACAAGGACAAAATTACCTACACTACTTGACCCAAAATACAAGGTCAAAAATATCTTAAAATAATCACTACTAAAATGAATTACAAGTAAGAAAAATATACAATAACAATAAAAGTCTTTTAAGGTAGGATAGGCTTCTAATGGTAGGGTACCCTACAAAATAAGGGTAAGTGTTCGACAATTCTTCAAACCAACTTTATCATCTTTTACCCTTCTTGATCTTATCTCTTCCACATGAATCCTTGGGAATTAGGTTTCCATCAGTAGTTTTGAAAGAGATAACCCTTGCAACTTATTGAATCTGATTCATAGAATTGTTTCATCTTACTTTTTCATCTATTTTTTAGAGAAAAGAAGTATCCATTGGTGCATTAAATGCTTCAATTAATTCATTTCACCTAAACGTACTCCTTATCTTTGATAGATCAAGCTACTTTTTATAATAAAGTAGCAAAGCAGGAATAACAAGAAGCAAAGTCAGTGTGCAAGCGAGAATGCAATCCTTTTTCAACGTCTTTTTTGTGAAATTCGAGATCTTTGTTCTTTGTTCTACTACTCTTCATGCTTTTATACATTGTTAATAGAATGTGAGTTCCAAGACAACAACTTTCATCTGTTTAGGTATAAATCATTCATTTGAACATTTAAACTCATTAGTCACAATAAATAATGATCATTAGAAACAGTTTGTATGTCTCGTCTGATTAACTTCGTCTTACAAACGCTACTTCATCTTACTCAGTTTGAAACATCAACTTTTATAGTGTGTTTTCTTACTAAAAGATGTAATGTTTGTTATTATTAAAACTTATAAAATATAAGAGATTTAAAATAATCTTTTGACTTAACACTATAAGGTGCTATTAATATGGGTCTAGTTCCTAGTACAATGTCTATGACAAACTTTATCTTACGCTTATGTGGTAGGCTAGTCATATCCTCAGGAAGCACTTTAGAAAATTCTCTAACTATGGGTAACTTACTCGCCTTAGCTTTACTTTATAATTTCAAGGAGACTAACATCATGTATGTATGGGCATCCTATTTCAAAGATGTCTTAACTCGATCGACATTTTAAGAAGTACTCACTTTTACCTTGAATAGACTGACCAAAATAATGGTTTTATTTGAATGGTTTAATACAACATGGTTGGAAGATAACTAAGTCCATACCAAGAAAGACATTTGGCTAACTCCAAGGCAAACAATATAACTCATTACAAAACTCCTATTAGAAATTTTCAAAGGCATTTAAGACAACATCAGAGACAAAAATTAGCTTAATAGTTAGGGTTTCCCCATCACCTAAGCTAACGCCTACAAGGCAACAACTAAAATGAAATCGTTCTTCCCCACCATAACTTTTTTTATTAATATAAAAGTGCACAATAACTTAAAATATCAACATAAAATATACAATTTTAGAGTACACACAAAAACATGGCATACATATAACACATTTGTTGGATGAACCTACCTATTTTGATACCACTAAATATGACACCCTTCTATCCCAAAAGATTTACTAAATAAACAAAATTTCTAGAAACTAAAATAATTATAATAATTCATTTCATAAAACTTGTACAAGAGTTCACATCTTTATTCATCATTTAAAATAAAACATATAAAGCATTATTTCAAAAGAAATGAGAACAACCTCTTAAATCAATAAAGTTATGGTAATAAAATACACATTGAAATAGAAATTCAACTATTAAACCACTACTAATCCTAAAACTCATCCCCAATGTAATACTATTAATGCAAAACCTCTCTTTATAATTCTCCTTCCCCAAATCCATCGTCTTGTACTTGCTTTATTCTTGCACATGACGTTCAACCCAAACACAAAAAATACAAACACAAGGAGTGAGAATACATCTCATCCATAATAGCATATACCAAGCATAAGGATAGCCACACACAAACAATAAAACAACATACAATGCTCAACTCCTCGAGTGTTAGTCCACAACACTAGACTTATTTACCATATCTCTTTATAGTATTTATCATAATATGAACATACCATCACACGCTAACATTTAAATGTATCATCACATCCCAATATATTACTCATAGCAACTCAATACATCATACATCAATATAATTCACACATCAATTCATTCTCATATGCACATAATTATTATTATACACTTTCATCACATAATATATCATTTATCATTATAACATCATTATCATAATATCTCAATCATAAGAACACTAGCATCAAACCTTAATTACCATCATTCATCATAATATTATCCATTATTATTACTCATTTAATACCCCCATCTTATTGTAAATTCACCAATGATATCATTAACATTTTTGCACACTAGGATACACCATTTTAGCTAATTCCTTATGCATTACTACACATTAATATCTCAATTTATTAGCTAATAGCATCAGCCATTCCTCATGGATCCTCATTCAACAAGTAGATTCTAAAATAAATCAATTAAAAGAAATAGGCATGACACCCAATGAGATTTAATTATCATTTCCTCAAACTTTCATAGAAACACATTAATTATTTTAATTCATACACATTGACCCTAGCCCTTTGTAACACCCTATTTTTATAAAACATATAGGTATTTTATTAATAATTTTGATATTTTATTTTTATAAATAAGAGATGATTAATATTTATTTTATTATTATTTAACTATATTTGTGATAAAGTAATTTTTTTATACAAATATATATATATATATATATATATATATATATATTGTGTGATTTTATAATTAAAGGTTATATATTTTATTGTTAATAATAAGGGAAGGGAACTTATTTTTGATAACCATGGTTCACACTTTTACTAAAGGGTTAAAGGGATGTTAAGTTTTAAAAAGAAAAAAAAAAAAGAGAAAGTTGATCAATTTTACAGTTTACATTTTTCTCATATACGCGATTACGCTTCAAAGCTTAGAGAACTGAAAGGAGGAGGAAACCACCCTAGAGTTAATCGTTCATCTTTTTCTACTCAACCAGGTAAGGGGGAGTGAGAAACCTCGCTCTGGGTGTGGGAATGTATGTTGGGTAGTGGGATTGGCCCCAATCCTGTGTTTGTTGTATGCTCATGTATAAGGGGTTTTCCCCAATTGTGTCTGTTTCACTTGTTGTTCTTCTTGTATGTAGTTAATTGTATGAATTACTTGAATGAATGATTAATTTTAGTTTTAGAATTTCAATTGTATGATTTGAGATCTCTATGGGTTTCTATGGGAACCCTAAGGGAATACATTGGTAGTTGTAAGAGAGGATGATTGAAAGATGTAATTTTTTGAGTAAATTGTAGTATTTTTAATGTTTATTACATGATGTAGAACACTTTAACCGATTGTATAAATAGATTGAAGATTGGATGTTAAAACAAAAATCACAAGCTACAGAGTTTCTAATCGTAGAAACCATGCTAAGCGTCATTTATGGCGCTAAGCGTCAAGGTAACAGAAAGCTGATAATGTTGTCAGTGATCCTCAGGCTAAGCGTGAGCCTGAGGCTTAGCGTGGCCCAGGCTGACCATGAGATTCCACGCTTAGTGTGGCTCAACCAAAGAGTTAAGATTACTCTCTAGAAGCTTTGCGCTAAGCGCCTAATCTAGGGATGAGCCTTAGTTTCCATATTATGCTTCTTTCCTTCTTTGTTTGATGAATTCTATTGGTGCAATATAAATCTTATGTTACTTCTCTCTTGTGATCTATGATATGCAATGATGTGAATTTCTTGTGTTATTCAATATTATCCTTTAATGAATATAATTGATGAGTATGTGATGTGAGAAAAATTAATATGGTGGAACGACATGATGATGTTATATGATAATAAGACATGATAATGTGATATGAGAATTCATAGTCTTGATTTACATGCATCATTTGCATAAATGTTTTTAAGGGTACAATATGGAATACACCGCTAGGGAAGGTTCCCTTGTGTAAAAGCTTGGGGATTAGTCCTTGGGGATAGCTCGGTTTGTAAGTCTCAGTCTCGCTCATTGTGTGCATGAGATGTATCTTGCACAACTTAGTTATTCTGACTAGACCCTAGTAGTATGTCCTTGTAATCTATTGTTCTCTGTTATTCAAATTGCATAAAGGTTGTATTTTAGATTCTTGATAGGTTGTTTTTCAAGAATTATACGAAAAGAGAGTTATCTTATGATAGAATCTATTCAACCCCTCTTCTAGATTCTAACACATTGGGACCAACAATTGGTATCAAGAGCTTAGAATTTGAAAATTAGTCAAGTTAGATCCATAAAACTCCTAAAATGGATGGTAATCAATTACCATTTGTTGAAGGTGCCTCTATAAACAGACTTCCTATCTTTTGTGGGGATAATTACCCCTTTTGGAAAGTTAGAATGAAAATCTTTATGCAATATGTTCATAGAAGCATATGGCAAGCTGTGGTTACTGAATACAAAATTCATACTAAAACTGAAAATGGAATAGAAATAGAGAAACCTTTTGATAGTTGGGATCAAAATGAGATTAAAAGGGCTGAAAATTATGCAAAGGCATTGAACATTATACATTCTACATTAAGCTCTGATGAACTTTGTAGAACTTCAGCTTGTACAATAGCTAAAGAAGCGTGTGACTTGATTCAAGTGACACATGAAGGTACTCCTAAAGTTAGAC